AGATGCTTATGGTCACATCTGACCGTAAGATGAGCGCACACAAATTCATGGACGGTTTTGTTATTCATCACGTTCATCTTGGCATATCTGTACTCATATCTGGTAGGAGTGCATGTAAATTTGGGCATAAAAGCTGGATATGTGGCTAATTAACCAAAACTATTATCAACATAATCTGTAATTGCAAAAATAAGAACAATAGAAAATTTCAATAATACTAATTTGTGTGCATGACAGTCCAGTACAAAAGTGGATGTACTTAATTTACATGCACATTGATATAAACAAGTGCTGCAACTATTTCATGTTCCATTTAAAGACACATTACACTGTGCTTTTGTTTCATACTACTGACTCACAAACACAGCTTCGGTCAGACACTGCAATAATACAGCGTTTATTTTAGGGAATTAATTACACTAAACAATCACTCTACTATGTTAACAACACAGAGTATTTTGTTTTTATTTCACATTTTATTTTTTCCAGTTGTTTTCATTTTAATACTATTAAGTTTGGTCAGCAGGGGAGGAGTGCACTCACTGCTGTACATAAAACTCCACCCACGAGCACGGCCATTAGCTTTCATGCCAAACACTGCCGTTTTATTGGCTGGCTACTGAAACATCTGCATGAATTAGTGTGTGCTTCATGTAAATGATATGTAAATGAGGTGCTGGTAGGCTGGTTTCATGCACTGAAGCTGATTTATCATTTATGCTCAAATCTCCACTTGTTTCCACATTGTACAAAACTGAATCAGACGCAGAGCAGTTCATACCTTATAAAAGGCAAACAAGTGTTCTTTTTCGCGACTTTGATGATTAATGGGCCCTTTACACAAGATTCGTGATTACTTCCGGTTTAAGCATTAGCAGGGTAAAACTCACTTCCTCTCCATATAGCTACTGCAGACGCTCTCAGAGTGTTTAGTAGTCAACTGTAATGCTCAAACACGGAGCTACAGCAGCTGTATTTTAGTGTTCCTGCTCGGCTGTGACAGCGAGAGTAAGAAGTGGACGGAGGCGCTGATTGAACTGTAAACAGAGCTGAGACGCTGTGTGTTGTTTTTACTGCAGTTCTGCTGCAGCTGCTTCACATCAAGCCGTCTCTGTGTCTTTGTACAACACGCTAGCGATTCGGTAATCTTCTGTTTTCAAAAGAAAGAAGAGCTTTTATATGTAGCATGAAAGTTATAGACTCTGTTTATATTAAGCTAGCTATACTGGCTAGAAGCTACTGCTAACCAAACTAGCCCGGCTAACATGAAGCAGCTTTTTCAGATGTTTTTTTCAGCTAGGAGTCTTGTTTTTGGTTGAGCAGTGAAAGGTGGATGTTTTCTGAAGTGCTGCTTCAAAAATTGCCATGAAACTATAAGAATAATGCTGTTTGGCAGATCGTTAACATAGCTAGCGTTAGAGCTAACTTAGCTTTAAAGTGTGCTGCTCATATGAAGCTGGAGCTCCTCAAACTGCTAATGGTAGGCTAGCTAATTAGCGACTGTAGCCTGCTAGCCTTCCGTAAGCTAATACAGTTTAAACGAGGTCTGTAAAATAGACTTTACATGTAAAAGTTTTTGTTTGCGTTTATGTCAGAAGTCATCACAGCCATCCTGTAGCTAAATGTGTCACAGAACCTGCTCCAGCTGGTGCCAGCAGCTAAAGAAAGGTAGCTTCCTTATTTTGGGAATACAGCTACAGTTAGAAATGGCTTCTAGCGTTGCTAGCTAACCTTGCTACAGCTAAACAACGTCTACCAAATTCATACTACACAGAAGAACTTTAATTTCTTTTGAAAACAGAAATATTACAGAAATCGCTGGCATGTTGTTCAACTACAGAGGCACTGCTTGATGTAAGCAGCTGCAGCAGAAGTAAGCAGGGCTACACCACACACAGCATTGTAGCTGTGTTTACAGTTAAATCAGTGCTTCCATTCACTCCCTATTCTCACTGTTTGTCATGATAGTGCACAAAAATGTCTGTTGTAGCTCAGTATTTGAGCATAGTAGTTCACTGCTAATTCGCAACTCTTTGTGAAAAGGGCCCATGGCCATTAGATCTTTTAAATTTTGACCATTAATTACTTCTTAAATTCCTCTTACTTAACCATTAATTACTGCTTTTGTGTTGTCACTTTACTTGGAGGGACACAAAAGCAGTAATTAATGGTTTAGTAAGAGGAATTTAAGAAGTAATTAATGGTCAAAATGTAAAGATCTAATGGCCATTAATCATCAAAGTTACGTAAAAAAAAGAACATCTTTTTTTTTTGCCTTTTATACGGTATGAACTGCTCTGTGTCTGATTCATAACAATTTTGTACGATGTGGAAACAAGTGGAGATTTGACCATAAATGATAAATCAGCTTCAGTGCAATTACAGATCATGTTGATAATAGTTTTGGTTAATTAGCCACATATCCAGCATTTATGCCCAAATTTACATGCATTCCTACCAGATATGAGTACAGATATGCCAAGATGAACGTGATGAATAACAAAACCGTCCATGAATTTGTGTGCGCTCATCTTAAGGTCAGATGTGACCATAAGCATCTTTAATGAACCAAAGTGAGAAAAGTGAAGCAACTGAATATATGGAGGTGATGGAAAGTTAATTAACAGATAATTAGCGGGATTAACACATAAGGGCTAGTAAGTTATCACGTTACTTCTTTATATGAAGAAAAATACTTATTAGTTAATTAACAATGTAATAAGCAGCAATTAGCACACATATAATGAGTAAGTAAGCCACAAACTAACTTATCAACTAACAGTGTACTTAATTACTAATGGATAAGTGCTTAATCAATTACTAAGTAATAGCTAATGCTTAATGAAGAGTTAACTAATAACTAAATAATGGGAAACTAATAGCTGATTATTATATAATTAATGATTGATTAGCGACCCTTAATGTAAAGTGTTACCACATATCCTGAACTTAGGATGAACCTGTATGTGCTGTTGTCACGCTTTACTTATTGCCCTTACTTAGTCTGTGCATACCAAGCCGTTTGTTTTTTCTGATTGCTGCTCTGTGTTTGACCTTGCTTGTTTTTTCCCGTTTTTTTCTCGCTTCTGTTTTGGCTTTGTTGTTTTGGTATATGTGCTTTCTCTGGTTACGCCCCTCGCCTGTTTTTTCGACCTCGCTTTCACCTATGCCTCTGTATTTCGTCTGCTTATTCTGGTTATTGGCCTGGTCTGGTGCTAACCCTGTTTACCTCCGTCTGAATAAATATTCCGGGTTTATTTTTATCCGTGTGTGTCTGTTTCGCAAACCCAGCATTACAGCTATAGCTGTTCTGTGTCCAATCTGTCATGTGATGCTTCCCCAGCGCTGTGTGGTGGTGAGTTTACTCAGTAAAACCATTATCACCAAAACAACTGCAGTCTGTGACAAGCTGTAGCCTATTGTTTGACCAAGTGGCAGAATTGGCCTGTGAATAAGTGGGTGGGCCAAACACAATTTCAGGTACATACAATTTCCAAATGCGCTAATGTCCTGCAATGTCACAACATCATCCTACAGCCTGTTCCAGACATGCAGTCATCACCCTACCTAATCCAACACATTTGCTCTATGGTAATATAAAACAATCAACCAGAATACTGGATTCATATAAGCACAACCAACACTGCAGCACCCTTCACTATAAAGCATGCGTCCACTCATCACGGCCATGTTTGCAGAATGAAAATGACATTACTGAGATAAAATCAGACAAAACAACACAGTAAACTTTAAAACCTAAATTGAATCACTGTAGGCTAAAGCGTACTGCCACAACAGGAATGCAAAATATTTATGATCCATTCATGTCTTACTTTAATGCACTGAAGGAATATTAGAAGTTTGCTTTGACATTTTAACGAAGTCCATGTTAGCCTTTGTAATAATAGAGTATTGTAAGTATCAAATTCACATTTTTTCATCTTTGGACAAGTAGAAATTGTGATACATTTCAGAACGAAATCTCGCTTTTAAACATCCCCAGTTCCATCTTTGTACCTGACTGGAGCTTTAAATTTAAACACTGATGTGCTAAATGAACTGAAGGCTTGGGAAAAGGGTAGATAGGAAAGGTTGCTGTGCAATGAATGGAGGGGTTAGAAAAGAAGGTGGAGCTTGGCAGAGAGTGTAATGATTTGATTGGGCATAATAAAGTGACAGTGCTCACAGAAAACAAATCAAATTTCCCCAAGACCACTGATCAATTTGGGCAGCCCCAGCTAGTGAAAAGGAAATGAATAACTCACAAAAAAAGAAATAAATAAACGCCAATCATAGGCCCTGAGTTACTCTGGGCCCCTGGGCTTCAGCCCATATTTTAAATTGCCCCTGCATATCATCCCTTTCAGAACAAAACCTTGTATCTCTATTTTTGTTGTTTTCAAACATTGTACAGAATTTGAAAATACCAGCTGAATAGTAGAATGTGTTAAAATCTGGAAAAAATGAATGGATGAGTAGAAATGCTACATAATTACTGGGAAATGTTATCTGGTAACTTTCATTCAAAGTTAAGTAAATTTTTTTCCTCCTACAAACAATTTTACTGTGATTATCAGAATTTGAAGATGATTTTTTCCTGCCTGCAATATCAGTCAGTGCTGTGAGGCTTTAGCTGTATTGTACAGCGACATAAACAGATAAATATATTTAAACAATCCCTGAAGGCAAATTGGAGCACAAATTGAAAGCAACCTTGGATAAATACAGAATGCAGATCCATACGCTAAAGAAAAAATATACACAGTGCAAAGAAACATACTGTGAAACATTACATAAATAAAAATCCAGCAGAACATAATAATCAGAACTGGAAAACATCAGACTTCATATTACTCACATTGACATTCACATTTCATCAACTGAACTGAAAACTTCATCTCTCTAACCTCAGTTCAGTTTGAGAGTCTGTTTCACACTGAAAGTCAAAAGCAAGCAGTAAATCAAAAATAATATGCATTAAAAGCTGAGAGCGGAGTTACCTGATTCTGAGATCAGAGTTCAGAGTCTTTCAGAGTCTTTCAGAGTCTTCAGGTAGAGAAGTTCAGCTCTGTCTTTATCAGGATCTCCAGTCCTACAGCAGAGACTCACATCAGCTCATATATGATAATACGATCTGTAGTTTCTCACAGTCGACCAGTTTATTATATCACACTCCTGAACACACATTCAGCTCCTCTACTGGACTTTAGACTGAATGATAAACTAGCTGTAACTTCCTTTTCCACAGAAAGAGAAAACCAGTTGGAGCACATTCAATCACATTAGAGTGTATCTGATGTCAAATCTTAACAAGACTGGGCAAGCAGAGTTTTGAAGGATCAACATCAACTACACTGCATTTGCCTCACAAGTGTCTAAGTGTCTACCGGATTTATTTATATATGAAACTTTATGTACTGGGTGGAAAATTCATATTTTCGCCCACCAGCTGCAGTTACCACTCAAATTTTGTCAGTACACAATTAACTATCACACTGCTACTACCAGAAATAATGATATATGAAGTAGAATGTTCAAAGTGTTCAAGTACTTATAATTAGATTGTTAAAACAGTATAATTATACAGGACTCTTATTAAAATAACAGATGCTTTCAAAGGTCAATCATCATCCAGTACTGGCAAAGGAGTTACCTGATTATTCTGTGTTCTTTAATGACGTGTGTTGTAATTCTTATTATAACTCTGACATGGTGTGAATAAATTAACTTTATAAAGCAGAGATTCTGGTTGATATAGTGTAGTGGATAACACATTGGACCAGTTAAGCAGCTGTTCATTATGGAGAAACTCCCTGATGCTGATTTTTTACAGTGGTGTTGATAAGAACCATGAGAGGCCTATAACACAAATGTAGGCATTTTATTTACTATGCAAAACCAACAGTGAACCTAAACGAGCCTTCTGGGTTCTTATATGTAACGTTGATGGTGGTGAAATAGTGATAAATCTTTCAAAGGAAAAATGTTTTCTTTGGGGACTGTTTTATTAGAACGCACCTTTGTACTCTTCCACTGTGTATGAGTTTTTTAAAATTCTTTGTCAAACGAGACACATCAACACTATCACAAAAAGTCACAGATATCATGCACTGTATTCTTAGTCATTTAATGTAACAATGTTTGTGTGGTAGCTTAGAAGCATTAAATATGCGTGATGCTTTTTTGCTCTCATCTTGCGTCATTTCAAAATAAAAAAAAATGAACACGGTGCACGATTTTCAACGCATCATTCAATAAATGTCAAACTATCAATCTAGCAATTGCTAAATGTTAAACAGTGTGTAAGGGTGGAGGCAAGGAGGCAGGATGCAAATGTGAGTTGCTTTTATTCAAATTAGAGTTAACAGAGTCCAGAAACTGAGAAGCAGAGGTATGAAGAACAGAGAAGTCCAGAACAAAAACAAAACCGAACTACAAGATGAAAGAAAACAAGTGATAGTGCAACATCCACGATGCAAGACTGAGACTGAACAAACACAGGGGTATAAATACACAGAGGGGAAATGAGAAACACCTGGGACTAATGAGGGGTGGAGCACAGACAGGTGGACCAGATAACAAGGGGGCAGGACCAGGGAGGAGACACAGAACAACAACAAATTTAGATGATGATCAAATCTGAGGAAGTGAAGTTGAGCAAACACTGAAGTACAAAAAAGCTGAAGTTAAGCCTGTTCTGTGATGTGTGGATCTGTAGCCTGATTGGCTACTTTAACATTAAATTAGCAAGAAGGATACAAATACAAACAATGCCAACAACCACAGTACAGGTTTGATTCTTAAAACTGGTGCTCTGTTAAAACAAATTTATATAAAAACAAAATACTAATGTTTGAGAGAGAAAAAGTTGAGTGTTGGAATGACAGAAAGCCAAAATCGAACCTGTTCTGTGGCGTTAGGGTCATTTAGCTGTATTTAGTTATTTAACTGGCCAAACATGCCACACCACAGCACAGGAATGGTTCCAGCTATAGGATATCCGAGAGCGCAAAGTCGAGTGACTTTTGTTGGACTGAAAGCTGAAATCGAGCATGTGGCTAATCTAATAATGCCTAGTTTTTCTTAGTTTGCTTGTCTTTTCCATCAGTGAGCCATTTAAAATATAAACGAGTGGAATGTCTTTATTTAGCCATTCAGACTTAGAAATTTGATACTTCATCATTTTGAAATACTGTCATAATTTAAAAAAAAACTACTGTATACCTTATTACCATTATATTGCCAACTCTAATGTTGATAACACACAAGCACTAGCTTGTTATCAGTTCTTAGAATCTGATGCTGTGACTGCCCCCCCCTCACATCTTCAGCCAGAAATAGCCTCCCACAGAACTGTGGCTGAGAACGAGCTGCTGCTTGTGTGTTTGTGTTGATATCAGACTCTTGTTCTCGAGCTTCACTTCAAGTTCTGATTAAAGATTTTTTCCTCATCTCACCATTAATTACCAGGTAGGATTGAAGGATTAAAGGATACAGAAGTCAACAGCTATAACTAACAACTGTTAGGGAGTCTTCACAGAGTCTAATGAGTGTCCAGTGCTAGGAACTGGACTCTTCCTGATTTCTGTTGTTTAGCTTCTTGACTGAGCTTGCAAAGCAACAACTGAGCTAAACTAAGCTGCTTTATAGCTGTTTATATAACTAATATTAAGAACTATAGAGCAGGTTTGTATGTCTCCTTGATCAAGCTGTTGTAACACAGCCAATTACAGTTAGTTGTGATGTCTGACTTTAGAAGAACAAACACTTCAGGATGAGCTACTCATACATATTCATTATTGTTTGAAGCATCACAGAAAGCAGGTCATCTGAGGCTGATTCATTATATTAGCCGTACACAGGGTTGGGTAGTAATGGAATACATGTAACAGCATTTCATAATCAAGATATAAAAAGGTAACTATATTCTGTGACAGCAAACAGATTAAAGATGTATGATATTAAAATGACATTAAAGTCACAGATGTGCAACTAATTTGTACAAACTCCCCACTTCTAATAATAAATATGCCACTCATTATGCCACTGACTATCTAGTAATCTAACTTTTAAAAATGTTAACTGAAACCTTTGTGAGTTGAAATGCCAATGCTAAGACAATCAGCTTCCACTGTTTTGTGAGAAATCAATGCCTTTTAAAATTCATAGGACACGTCAAATTCTGTGGACAGCAGCTGAACTGAGGAACCATCTACAAATTACACTGCTTGCTTTCTGTAGTTTTTCAGTGAAAGTGAGTGTGCATGTCTGAACTTAAACAGCTTACACCGTACAAATTTGTCATTTTTATGTTTGGATTTCAGCATTTGGCCATTTTACTAAATGTGAGATCAGTGACCGTCTGTGTGGAACACAATATCAGCTGTTTGTGTTCCGATCTTCTCCACTGTGGTTCAACATCACACACATAGCAAAGAAAATTACAAGGTAAAACAATTTATTTCATTTTTTATTCCAAACTACACCTGACTTATTTAATTACCTGATTAAATAAATAAAATATTTCCTGACATTTTCAAATGGATACATACATAGCAGTCATAAAGCATGGACGATTATGTGGTATATAGAATACATTTTTGTAGTGACGCTCCCAACTCTGACTATACCATGTGTTATAGTGTCATCATATTATAACCAGTGAAAAATCTCAGTGTTTTCTGTACATTGTTAAATACATAACAGTATTGTATGAAATCTGTTGTAGCTCAATCTGTCATCAATGTATTTAATATTAATTGCTTATCCTGAAGCAGCAATGCAATCATGATCATCACATGATCACATACATATAAAGTTTGTAAAAATGGTCATGTTGGTCAGTGTTATTAATAATAATAATAGTAATGAACTACACAGATCGTGCTTTTACGCTGCAGGGTTTACTGATGAAGCTGATAATGTTCAGTTTAACCATCAAAACCTGAACACACTTTAATCAAACTCCATAATGAAGAACTGAGTCCATACAGTGAACATTACACTCATACATTCATAAACAGGCGTTCATTTCCTACCTTTATATTTCTGGACTAGTTGGCTCCAGGTGCTGAATTATCAGTAGTGGTATGTCTGTCACAGAAAGTGACTGTCCTACACACAGTGTCCTTTCAGTATCATAAGAATGTGAAGCAGTGCGTCAGTGTTACTCCTGTTTATAACAGACTCATTATATGACAATTGTTCTGAATTTGGTTGAACTAAATAACCAAATAAATGTAATTTTCTTTTTTTTTTAATTATATTTTTATTAGGAAATAGCTGTTTAGTTTCACAGAAATATATTGACAAATTGCATCAATACTACCTTAACATATAGAAAAGTGACTATACAACGAAATCCTTAATGTACCAAGTCCAGTCTGTGACACAGCTTTTCCAGTATTTTGAGAATATGTTCCTTTAAAACAAAACTATTTACAGCAGAACGTAATAAGGGGAGTTTACATTCGAAAGATCTTACATAGCACATCTTCACATATTATTCAGTCCAGCAAGAAAAAAGGATCTGGCCTTATGGGTTTTACATACTCAATCCATTTTGCCCATATCTGGTTAAACAATTCCTTTTGCATATTGAGGGAGGCGGAGAGCTTTTCCATTATATAAATATCATAATAGAATATATCTGTTCTGTTAAGAGAGATGATGAAGTCACAGTGGGTGAAGTTCACTGAGCAGCGTCACTAAAACAGATTCAGTCTAAATCTCAGTGATGCTGTGAGGAAGAAACCACTCTGCAGGTCATTTGACCTACAGACTCACTGAGACACACAGACTGCAGTGTTTTCTTTATGACAAGCTAAAGTAAACAGGATGAAACACACCGAGTCACATGACCACATTACACCAGTTCTCCAAAACATCCATCAGCTTCCCATGAAGAAACACATTCATTCATTTACAGTAGGTGGGTCTGGTTTTAACCATTTTCTAATGATAGCCTTTTTACTAGCTACTAAAAATATGAGAGCCAATTTTTATCCCTGCTGTTCCACATCTCGAAAGGAATATTAGCCAAATATGTAGAATCACATCTGAAAGGAATTTCCTTTCCAAAAATAGCTTCTA